ATATATCGTAACACCTCAAGGGACTGAAGTGGCAACATGGTATTTCTAGTTTGGATAAGAGTTAGATAAGATAAACACAATCCTGAATAGTTCATCCTCTCCCCCCTACACGATTCTACTTTAGTCTAGATGTTCTGTCAAGTGGTTCTTTAATTCTCCAGGACTCACCTTGTTGGTGAAAATGCAGCTTGAAATGCTGTTGAATGTGTATCTGCCGTGGCAGCTGCTCTTGTAGCAGGTCCTCGGATTGTTCAGGCCCCTCCATCACACCGTGCGTTTCTGTGGCGGCTGCAGAATCGAGAACGGGGTCAGCAGCGCCCGCAGATTCGGGCAGGTCCTCCACGCCCGCTCCAGGTGCCACATCAGGTGCAAAGGAGGCTTCTTCAGGTAGATGGGACGGGACGGAGGGGTAAGCCAAGTCGGGGCCGGCAGTGGGAGCTGCAGGAAATGGAACAACTAATTTTGTTAATGCATTATTGAGGGAGTTAAAATGATGAAATGATTGTCTCGAGTTTTACCTTCAGGTTGCACATGTCCGTTTATATAGCCCACATTATCTGAAAGTGACAAACAGCTGAATATTTATCTAAATTCAATGGAGCCACAAGAGACGTGTAGAGATACTCAGTATACTGACCATATGACATCCCCTCGCTTTCTACTGCAGCCACCGGAGTCTGGAGTTCTCCCTTCACTAAAATCAGAGTAAAAACACATGAGATTAAAAGAGGTCGAGGTGTTCGGCCTGTTTGTGCAATGAAACCACTTCCTCTGACGCACCATAAGATTTTCCAGGTGAATCCGGGTCAGAAGGCAGGGACTCGTACGGTAAACCAGCCGCTTCTGTTTTAAACAAAAACATATAATCATAGAAAACGATTAGTTTGCACATTTCTAATCTGACTGGTGGGATAAATGGTAGCAATAATGATATAAATACCATAATCTCCAACAGATCTGCCTTCAGATACAGATTCAAGGGGCTGTGAGTGATACGCTCCCTGGTGCCCTGTGACAAGGTTGATGTGAAACCACTGAGCAAACATGCAAACAAACAAAAACCTCTGATATGACAACAGAGAAACTAAAACATTTGAAAGGACGTACCGTATTTGCCAGCAGATTTAGCTTCCCCCCCAAAACCAAGAGCTTGTGGTGTGTAGGGAACCTCTCCGCCACCTGAGCAGGAAGCAGCCACACATAGATGACGAGTTAAACCAACACATGTAGAAACGTGTAGAAAGCAGCTGTCATGTGTGCTGGAGCTCACCGTAGGGGCTGCTTAATTTTGCATTATGTCCAAGTCCGAGATGTTCAGGCTGATATGGTGACGCAGGAAAACCTGGAAGAAAATGTTTATAACTGAACCGATAAAGGAATAACAGATAATTTCAGACTGTGGGCCTGTTTCTATAAAATCAGGTGGCTTTAAAAACGTCACATAATGTTTTTATTCTATTTCTGTTTTTTACCATATTGTCCAGTAGATTTGACTTCAGGGCTCAGTCCAGCTGGCTGAGCTTCGTAAGGCATTCTTCCATAACCTGCGCAGGAGAAACAGGAACAGAAATAACATGAAGAAATGAATGAAGAACAAAAACTGGGACTGACTGGGATTCTGTGCTTTTAATTATTCACCATATTTTCCAGCTATATTTCCATTACTGCCAAGTCCAAGAAGCTGCCCAGCATTGGGGAACCCAGTGTGTCCTGAGCAGAGACGGAGAGAAAACAGTATTACATGATCACATGACTTCTCTGGAGAGTCTCCAATAATCTTTATTGTTTTATAAAAAGATAAAACTATGAGTCAGGAACTGACCATATTGTCCAGGTGCAGGTTCCCCTCCCATGCCAGCACCAAGGCCACCTGAAAGTAACTTCAACATCAATATTTCAAGTAGCTCAGTAAACGGTACCTGGTACCAACACGCCAGAAATATTGGTATGGATCCATCTGTAGACTATATATAAAGATGGCCGACATGACTGCACCTCAAAAGTGATGCCAAAGCATGATTGACCGCTGAGACGGACAATTAGCGTGTATATCAGCGGGGCATCGCTACCACGGCTGCAATCCTCAGTCGCTACTCTGGCTCCAAACGCACAAAATGGCGTTATTCGTATTCAGTTTGTTTTTTTAGCTTAATTTCTGAACAGTGGGATATTAAGGAGAAGCATCATCCATTGATATTTACAGTCCTTGGTTCCAACAGCTTCACAGCTCAACAAACTATTTTGTAATGCTGTTAACGTTTTGTTTCATGGCTGCTCAAGACTCTCACCATAGTTTCCAGCTGATTTCCCATCACCTGTATGTCCATATGGTCCCCCACCGTATCCTGGAGAGAATCAAGACAGTTACTGGACGCACGTGGTCTCATTGAAGGCCGATTGTACTGAAATCGGAATAAATCCAAGCCATGCAACAATAACAGAAACATACCGTACTGTCCTGTACCGAGGGGTTGTCCACCAAATTGCAATCCACCAATACCTGGAACGAGGAGCAACACGGTGAGTTGGTTGGCACATGAACGAGAAAGAAACTTGAAAGATTAAAGATTTAGAGTTTCTGGTTTTCAAAATAAGGCAGAATTATATTAGTTATAAACCCATGAAGTCAAGTCCTCCGTCTCCAAGCTTCTTAAAGGACTCACCGTACTTGGCGTTGGATTTCGCTGCACCCATTCCATGTTTCTGACCACCGAAAGGCAAGCCGCCCATTCCTGTAACATTGAGAAGCGTTTTCATTCCATCATCCTGCTTCTGAAAATTCATTCTCAAAATTCTCTCTCCTACAACCAAAGTTTCATTGTGTTGATAAAGATGTGTTGAGCTGCACAGTACATACCACCATACATGCTGCCCAACTTTCCATTTGGTCCAAGGCCAGCAGGCTGACTAATGCCTGCGTAGAAAATATATTTCAGTCATACCTGGTAACTTTTACACAATGAGCTGAATAAGTATTTTCACTTTCTGAAGTCTCCTTACTGCTAAATTCAACGAGGAATCAAAGAATGTGACTAAGGTGCATCCAAACACACGGATAGATCAGACTGGACCAACATTTAGGATTTCAACTATTTTTGCACAACCAACACAATCAGTAACACAACTGTAATCACACTTTTAACATGATGCTATGGTTTTACCATCTAGTCCATCAGGAACCACTGGGGCTCCGTTGTAAGGAACCTGCGCCGCACCACCTGTGGAATCATGTATTATTATCCCAGTTCAGCTGCGTCCTGATAATCTCATTTTCACTGTCTACATCTTACCTGATTTGGCATCAGCAGTGGGGAAACCCTGGCCGAGACCTGAGGGAAAGAGGAACGTTCACTTCTACTGTAATTCATGTGCCAAAGATTTTCCTTGTTCAATATTTATATGAAAAGGTACTTGCTTGCAAAGTCAGGTTGTACACCAGCACTGTAGCCGTTTCCATATCCTACAAAGAAGAAGATTACTTCAGTGCACAGGACTAACTGTGAAAAAATTATGGGAATATGACATCTACCAATTCACAGCCTCACGTATGTGATATCATTTATAGATTCTGTACTTTAACAGAAGTAAAGTAAACACAGAGGTCTACTGGGTTTGTCTGTTTTACCCACATCTGTATTTCTGGGGTAAAATGGCAAAATGTTTAATAAAACTGTGCCTGAGTATATATCACTCCAGTAACCTAACCTATCATCAGCTTACTAGTTGAATGAAAGAACAATGTTTAAAGTTTATCATTTGAAAATGCACCTCCATATGAATTTCCGTTTCCATATCCGGCTCCAGGGTACACTCCTTGTCCGTAACCTGAGATCAGACGCAACAACTATCAAAATACAAAGCACACTTCTAATTATAATTATCATTGTGTTGAATTCCTCTCAACTCACCAGGCTGCTTAGGGTTCCCCGCATAAGGAAATCTAAACCCTACAAGTAAAACAAAAACATATGTGTAAAAACACATTTATATTTCATTAAAGGTAAAAAAACAGCAAGTAAATATTACCGGCTCCATGTCCGTTGCTGAGTCCGGGGACAGGGTAGCTTCCTGCTCCATAACCTTTGGATAAAAAAGACTTGATTCAGATATATATGTTGTATGTATATCATGGAAAAGTTGAAAGTAGAAATATATAATGAATAATTAGCAGATCAGTCCAGGAAGTCTAATAATATTATGTATTTTACTTTTTGGATTTGGTTTCGCCGTCATCTGAAGAGCCATTAATAATGTGATGAGGTCAAAGGAAGGACATTATCTGTTCAGTTTCCGTTTATGCACCCATTAGCAAACCAAAGCAGAAATCACCACATCACAAAAAAGACTTTTGTGACACAATTTCAATGATTAATGGATTTCATAGAAAGCATCCAGATTGTCAGACCCAGGTTCCTCACCTGGTTTGTTTGCTTTAGTTCCTCCTCCGTTTGAAAATCCCCCTGCACCTGCACCTGCACCGTATCCTTAACAATGACACAACATCACACTCGGTCATTTCTGCTTTTATGTAATGATAAAACCTGCAGTGTGCTTTAATGGTAACCAACACTGCTAACAAAAAAATAAAGTAGATGTACCATTGGGTTTGGCACCATATGTGCTTGGAACACCAGCTCCGGCTCCATAACCTTTAGACAAAGTAAAGGATCACGCATGAATTATATAAGTCTCTCTATATCTAAAATATCCTGTTTTATACCATAAACTTAGTGTACAAGTACCTTTTGTTTTTGAACCAGATGCTCCAGCACCTTCGTTGTAACCTCAAATAACAAAGAGAAAACAAGATGCTCAGTTTTCATTCTCTGCTCCGAGTGTTGTGATCAAGTACACACAGAATGTGTTTCTCATCTTGTGTTATTGTAAGTGAACTACTAAAAAACTGTCCAGATTCCATTCGAGTATATTGTACATGTAGTAAAAGTAAAAGTACACATCATACACATCACCAGCCATGATATATACTCTGTTCACCTGGTCTAGGTATTTTCATCCATTGTCCGTTGGGTACTCCTGATGGTCCGCAGTCTATGATAACAATGAAAACATGTATTAAAACACACATTGTACTACAAACACGAATCCCTTCTTATTAACATCTCCCTGGAAGTTTTATATTTATGCAGAGAAAGTAATTCAGCGTTTACCAGGTTTCGCTCCCTGTCCCTTGGAAACTAAAGCTCCTCCTCCGTTCTCTGAAAGTCAGAGGGACAGAACAGAAATCCAGGTTTAGATGGAAACGAACCATCTATTATGTCTCATTACATTTCAACATCTTCAAGTAAAGACTGTGCTTTTGAGTCAGTGGGTTAAACTTAAAATACTTTACAGCTCATGCACTGAACGCACCGATTGACGTTGATGTGAACAAAGTGCAATAAATCACTCAAGACAAACAAAGTCACAGAATTAATCAATAATATCAACACACACAACCTGGAACACAGGATAAATCTGTGTGGACACAAGTTATTCATGCAATACAGAGACATACATTAATTATGATCACACAGTTAATTTGTAGAAACAACTATCACCATTAGGATTCAGTCTCACGTTGGACTTCGACTGAATTCTAGCAATTAAAACGACATTAATCCTGCAGCGTGAGGACTCATGTAACATTCTGCAACAGGTTTAGAATTAGGACAAATGCAGGTTTCGGTTTCCACATGCAGCCCAACACTAGAACACGAAACCCATATCGAGATTCAGTTTACCAGTTGCCCCTGTGTCCCCTGCAGGGACACCTTTGACCCAGAGCCCGTCGGGTCCCACCTCAGGCGGACTCTGGACGTTTTCCTCTTCTGGTGAAACCTCAGTCACACCCACAGTTGGTGTCTCTTCAGGAACAAGGCTCCCTGTGTTTTTATCAGTTTCAGGAACAGCTCTGGTGCTTTCAGGGGACGCACCTCCCTCACCAGTGCTGTCTACCCCAAAAACAACGTCTGTCTCTGCACCTTGTTGCTCAGGCACAGCACTGCCAGTCACATAACCTAGAGGTCATACATTTCATCAATTACACCCAGTGACTCTGTACATCTGTAAACAGAATACAATGAATGTGTAGGACACATTTTCTAATTGAGGGGACGTCAAACGATTCATTAGATAATTTCAGATACAACATTCACTAATACTGAAAATGCTGCATCTCTGTCAATGCACAGATTCAGGTTTGAGGTACTTGCCTTGAGGAACGACTGGTGCTGGCTCTGGTTCTGGGTCAGTGTGAGAAGTCACTGGTTCAGGTCCGGATGTGATTTCCTTCAGGCCCTTTCCCTTTGGGCCCACGGGTGCTGGTTCAGGTGTGGCTACAGGTACTGGCGCTGGCTCTGGTGTGGTGATCAGCTGTGTCTGCTTGTAGTTTTTTCCTTGTGGCACAGGTGACGGAAGCTTCTGATGTTTCTCCTGTGTCACCATGACAAGGACACCACTGGTTGGCTCAGGGGCAGCAGGGGCAACAGGGGCAACAGGGGCAGCAGGGGCA